TGGAGACTTAAGGAAAGAATAATTCAGCTAAAGCAGGTTGTACCTGAGTTGTATTTTCACATTTAAAGTAGTGTTCAATATTCATACCAAGATTCATCCAGCTCATAGCTTGCATCTCATTCCCATTAAGGCATTTGTATCTGTTTACCGGTATATGGAGTTTCCATCATCAGAATCTATCCTATTGTTCTATTCACCACCTGGAGAAAAAAAATTATGATTGTTAGTCCATCAATGTGGGGATACTTGTGAGGATTCTCAGGCTCTTGTGCATCTCCAGTGCAAAAGGATGGGGGAAGAGGCTGTGTGGGGTTAGGAACCCTGCCATATTGTAGATGCCGCTCTGCTCCCAACCCTTGCCTGGGCCACAGCATTTTGCAGTTTAGAAGATTTGTATATAGCCCTTCCTTATTTGGTTGCTTCTGTGAAATGTTGTGGGCAGTTTTTCTTTTGACCATTTATTTTTCTTTTTTCTGTATTTGCAGCCACTACCAATGCCAGAATAGAAGCTTCCTTCTGCAGCTTTCTCACTTGCTTCTTTATGTTTGTCCTTGGATTCTCTCTATTTCCTCAACATGGGTGTTCCCTGAGGGGCTGCCTTTCTGTGAACATAAAGATGGTGGTTCACAAGCCAAGGAGAGAGACCACAAACAGATCCTTCAGCCTACAGAAGGATCCAATCCTACCAACACCTTGATTTTAGACTTCTGGCATTGGCATCTGGAACCGTGAGACAACAAATTTCTGTTACTTTTGTTAAAAATATATATTTTTCCCAATATTTGAAGCTCCTACCAGGCAGCTTCCTTCTGCGCCTTTCTGGCTGTTGCTTCTTTAAGTTTGTCTCAGCTGCTCTTCCTGATTCCTAAACATGGGTGTCCCCTGAGTGCTGCCCTTTGCCATATCTCCTCCTATACAGGTTCTCACAGAGATTTAGTCTGCTCCCATGTTAATGATTGTCTCTCTTTATAGGTAACGCTGGCCTTAATCCTGGGCTCTGATTCTGGATTTTGTTTCAAGTTGAGTGAACATCTTCACTTGGCATTAGTTTGCTAGGACTGCTGTAATAAAGTGCCATAAACTGGGTAGTTTAAGCAACAGATATTTATTACCTCATAGTTCTGAAGATGAGAAATCTGAAATCCAAGTGCTGGTAGGGTTGGTTCTCTCTGAGGACTATGAGGAAAGGATCTGTTCCAGGTGTCTCCCCTTGGCTTATATGTGGGTGTTCTCCCTGTGTGCATGTCTGTGTCCAAACTTCCCCTTTTAATAAAGACCCCAGTCATTGTGGATTAGGGACCATCTTAATGACCTCATTGTAACTTGATTACTTCTGGAAAGACTCTTTCTCCAAATAAGATCACATCCTGAAAAACTGGAGGTTAGAACTTGAACATATAAATGTTGGGAAGACACAATTGAATCCATCACACTTGGTTATTTACTCATACCACACATATTTTCTGCTACATGCCAGGCATTGGTCTAGGCCCTGGGAATACAGAGGTGATGAGGCTCAGTCTCTTTCCTCTTAATAAGTAGAAAAGATAAGAATTAATAAACAGACATTTGCGATACTATATACAGGAGGTGCTCTCATAGATGAGAGATTCTTTTGAGGACATCTTAGTGACACACCTAGCCCTGACTGGCTGAATCAAGAATGACATGTCAGAGGAAGTGATACTTATGCTGGATTCTTCCCGGTAGGATGCAATACTGGCTTATGCAGGATCCTTCCCAGTAGGATGCAATACTGTGTAATTGCTCTCCCTGCTTTTAAACCACACCCTGAGTTACCCAGCCCTGGACTCCACCACTCAGTCAATCTTTGCAAAGCACCACTTTGATTAAGACATTTCTCAGTTGAGAAAACTGTAATGACTCCTCATGGTCAACAGAACTAACTCTAAAAAAACTGTTTAGCCTGGCTGGCCTTTGGTTCCTCCACAATCATGTGCTATAGCTGTATCTACTTTTGCTGTCTTGATCTTCCTATTGTTTCCATCCTTAGCCCTGTACATTACCAAGTTGTTATAACAAACATTTTGGAAACATATCTGCACCTTTTTATAATTTCATGAAGCCAGGATTTTTGTTTTGTTTTCTATTGTATCATCACCTAAAAAAGTGTTTGGCATATAACAGATATCTCAGAATATTGGTTGAATAAGCAAATGAATTTTCTCTACTTGAGATGCAGGCCTCTCCTTTCTCCCGGCTGTGCACATTTTTGCCCTATTGAAATTTTATTCTCAAGGCTCAGCTCCTGTATCCTCTCCTCCATTATGCCTTTCTTCTAGGTCACATGTGGATACAGATATGACTCTTCATTCCTAAAGACTTTTGCAGTCTCTGTGAACTGTTTGAATGCCCCTGCATTCTGCTTTGCATGGTAGAAATCTGAGTAGGTGCCTTTACCTACCAGGTTTGGTTGTTTGAATTAGGAGCCATATTTTAAAAATAGTATGTCCTGCTTAGCACTTTCTTGTACAATAATAGATCCTCAAAAGTTACTTTGTGTTTGAAGAGAGTATGAATGAGAGGAGTATTTTGTATTTGTTTTGAAAAAAGTGGGGAGGAAGACCTAAGAAATGGAACATTTGGTCTGTCCCTCTTGCCTTCCCTTATTTTTCTAAGTTTACAACATTTTAAATTTCGTTCAGCATATATTTGTTAAGGACCTGTGCTATTCAAGACTAGGACTCTTAAAATCCTAGGACTTAGATTACAAACAGGAATTAAACTGCCTTTGGGCAGTTTAATATCACCTCTTCTGACAGAGAAACTCCTCCAGTGTGTCCCAGTAGTCACTATCATCTGTACAGTTTTTAGGATGCTTTGCTTTACTCACATTTATTCATCCCAGAGTCTAGACTCTTTGCACATGTTGAGGCTGCCTGAGAGCAGGGCTCTTGTCTTTATCCTCCTATTCCCCACTACCTCACACTGAGCTTATACTTGATGGCGACTTCAGTGAGTCCTTTATTTTCCCTAAAGATTCTCTGACTCTTTTCTAAGTTTGCCCTGTTTCTCCAATTATAGAATGCTGAGTCAGGACCAGAGACTTTGGAAGGATACTGATTGCTTTGCTTAGATTGAGAGACCCTCTGTTACCAATAAGAGTAAAAATAAGCGCAATAAGTAGCACAATGTTTAGCCCTCATGCTAAAGTTTTTACATGCATTTTATTTCCTAGTGGGGCCTGTTGCTGTATCAATTGGCTTCTATGACTCCTTCATTTCTTACAAGTTGTCATATTAACATGTTGAGGTTGTTAAGAGAACATCTAGTTTGTTTGCCTCTACTCAAACTCAAGAATCTTGATTATACTGAAGAGCTTGCGCCAAACAGAAATGCAGTCTGGTGGGTCATGCAAATATGTTATCTTTTCTAAAGGCATCTAATTCTTAATAAATCCCTTTATGAATGGAAAATGAGGAAGTAAAAATTGAGATGAAATAATGGAGTAGTAGAGAGTGGAAAGAATGGTAAAGATATTTATTTGAAGGTTCTTTGACATGGAAGTGACTACTCTTAAACCTGATTGAAAGACAGGCATGAGATAATTCATATAGAAAAAGTGGTAATATGTTCTATTATGTCATTGTTATTGGGGGATGGGAAGCATCTATTTTATTTAAATATGTTGTATATTCATCAGAACAACATGAGTTCATGGAAATGATATAACAACAATTATGAGTAGTAGCCCAATCCTATGCTCTCTGGGTTTGTAGGTTTATAGTGTGCTATCTGTATCAAAGAGACAATGGCATGAGATAATTCTAAATAACAGATATATAAGTCACTATCGAGTCTTATATGGTGTTGCAAAGTATGTTTAACTTATCAGGCATACTTAACATATTTACTTATTAATCATGCTTTGTTTAAACAAAAATCAAGATTAGTTTATCCTGAGCACCTATGAGTAGGAAAGGTAGAGATCACCTGGAGAGGCTCAGACTGTCCGATTCAGTTTATAGTTGAAATGGCTCTGCACAGTAATCTCTGTATTACGGCTACAGCCAACATTGTCTCTCAACCTTCCTTCTTCCATGTGTGCTAACCACTGTTTCCTTATTTTGGGATACTCCTTTCTCCCTGAAGTCATGTGCTTCCCCATGTGACTTGTAGAGTGGAATGGGAGAGTAAATACAATGTAGATGAACAAAGAAATCACTGCAGTCTCTCTTTTTTTTTCCTTTTTTTTTTTTTGAGACAGAGTCTTACTCTGTCACCAGGCTGGAGTGTAGTGGTGCAATCTCAGCTCACTGCAGCCTCCACCTTTCAGGTTCAAGCGATTCTCCTGCCTTAGCCTCCTGCGTAGCTAGAACTACAGGCGCACATCACCATGCCCAGCTAATTTTTGTATTTTTAGTAGAGATGGAGCTTCATCGTGTTGGTCGTGATGGTCTTGATCTCTTGACCTTGTGATCCGCCTGCCTTGGCCTCCTGAAGTGCTGGGATTGCAGGTGTGAGTCACTGCTCCTGGCCAAGTCCCAGTTTTTTTTTTCAATGCTTGGTTTAAATGTTGGCATGTGATGCAGTTCTTGGAAGGGGTATTTAAGGGCCTCTGGAGGAGCATTGAGAAGAATTTTGAAGCATCTAAAAAGAGACATACAAAAAATGCTCTTTTACTGCTCTAAATAAAGGTATATGAGAATGTGCTATTTAGAATGGTTGCTGTTATCTTTTTCCATAAAAATGACAAAAGAGAATTTGCCAACTCAGGAGAACTGCCCTACCTTTGGACTTCTTGTACTATGAGAAAACATATCCCCTTACTGGTTAAGTCATTTTGAGTTTTCTGTTACTTGCAGATGAAAGCACCTTCCTTGATTCTGTAACATTTCCATTGAAAAAATAGAAAGCTAGGTGTTTAGAGTCTTAGACATTTCTCCATCGGTTTTGTTTGCCAAAATTACAAGGCTTATAGTCTAATTTTCTGTGATTTACTGATACCTAAGATATAGTAATGATTTTCTCTTTCACAGATACTTAAGAACTTCAAGCAGTCATCCCTGATATAAGAGATTAGTTTACATCCTGGATATATGTGCTGTTTCAAAGATCTGTCCCCATATTTCACATCTCTTGTGAGTTCTTTTGAAATCTCAGATAAATATTTTCCAGCATTGATTGCACCTCCTATTCCTGCCCTTCTTGACCCAGATGCCTTATCTTTCCCTAATGACCTTCTCTTACTGAATCCTTTGTCATGTATTTTATGCCTGTTTTTCATGTTGTCATGGGTGTCGTCATGTCTGAGAATGATTTATGAAGCATTAAGAAAAGATTCCCAAACCTTGCCCATCAGAATTTTTCCAAACATCAACTGAATCCAAATCTCTCTTTGGGTGATTCTAATTTTCAACCAGGTCTAAGAACCACTGACATAAGGATGTAAAAGAAAAATTGTACTGACTGAATCACATACCTAAAGTAAATGGTTTCAGATCTCACTTGACAAACTCACAAGTCTGTATTAGAGTCCTCCAGAGGGAATGAACCAATAGGATGGATGTATATATAAAAGATAGTCTGTTAGGGAGAATTGGCACACACAATTACAAAGCAACATCTCACAAGAGGCCATCTACAAGCTGAAGAAAGAGACAGAAGCTAGTAGTATGGCTTAGTCCAAGTTCAAAAGCCTCAAAACCCAGAAAGCCAACAGTGCAGCCCTCAGTCTGAGGCCAAAGACCTGAGAATCCCTGAGAGGCCACTGGTGCAAGTTCCCAGAGTCCAAAGGCCAAAGAACCTGGAATCTGACATTCAAGGACAGGAGGAGATGGAGCAAGCATCCTGTAAGAGAAGAAAGAGTGAACAGACTCAGCAAGCTGCTTATCCTTCCTTCTACCTGCTTTGTTCTAGTTTCATTTTTTTTTCTTTTTTTTGAGACAAGATCTTGCTCTGTCACCCAGGCTAGAGTGCAGTGGTGTGATCATGACTTATTGCAGCCTTGACTCCCGGTCTCAAGCCATCCTCCTGCATTAGCCTTCTGCAGAGCTGGAACCACAGGTGTGTGCCACCATGCCTGGCTAATTTTTTGATTTTTATTGTAGAGATGGGGTCTCACTTTGTTGCTCATGCTGGTCTTGAACTCCTGGGCTCATGTGATGCCCTCACCTCGGCCTCCCAAAGCACTGGGATTACAGGTGTGAGCCATCACACCCAGCACTCTTTAGGGTTTTCTAGTTATAAAATCCTGTTGGCTGCAAGCAGATACTTTAACGTCTTCCTTTCTGATTTGGATGCCTTTTTATTTTTTTATTTTTGCCTAATTGCTGTGGCTAGATCCTCCAGTACAGACCCTATACCAAAATCTGAGATTCTCTAGTCCAGGCCAGGCACAGTGTCTCATGCGTACAATCTAAGCTCTTCAGGAGGTCAAGGTGGGAGGATCACCTGAGCCCAGGAGTTTGAGACCAGCCCAGGCAACACAGTAAGACACCTGTCTCTACAAAAAATAAAAAATTAGCCAGGCATTGTGGCATATGCCTGTAGTCCCAGCTACTTGAGAGGTTATGATGGGAGAATTGCCTTAGCCCAAGAGAGCAAGGTTGCGGTGACATGCCACTGCACTCTAGCCTGCGTGACAAAACAAGATAATGTCTCAAAAAAATAAAAATAAAAAATTTTTTTAAATTAGAATGTGTAATGGTGTAGTACAGTTGACCTTCCATAACTGGGGGTTCCACATCCACCAGCGTGGATTGAAAATATGTACAACTGGCCCTCTGAGTTCGTGGATACAGAACCCATGAATATGGAGGAAAGACTTTACTATGTTGAATAAAAGTGGGGAGGGCACAACAAAGAGGACATTCAAACACACAGTGAGATGATTGCCACCTGCATGCCAAGAGAAGAGACCTCAGAATGAGACCTTATCTTGCTGGCACCTTGATCGTGAACTACCAGCCTCCAGAACTGTAAGAAATAAATTTCTATTTTTTAAAACAAAAAAAGTGATGAGGGTGGGGATCCTTATCTTGACCTTAGAATGAAAGCTTTCAACTCTTTACTGCTGAGTATTATGTTAGCTTTTTATATATGGCCTTTATTGTTTTGAGGTTTCTTCTAAACCAAATTGATTGAGTTTTTATTATTAAAGGATGTTGAATTTTGTCAAATGCTTTTACTGCATCTATTGGAATGATTATGCGGTTTTTGTTTTTCATTCTATGGAATATGGTATATCACATTTATTGATCTGCTTTTGTTGAACCATCCTTGTATCTTAGAAATAAATCCTGCTTGATCATAGTGTATGATCCTTTTTATGTGCTGTTGAATTTGATTTGCTGGTATTTTCTTGAGGATTTTTGCCTCTATGTACATCAAGGTTATTGGCCTGAAGTTTTCTTTCCTTGTAGTGTCCTTGTCTGGCTTTAGTATCTGGGTAATGCTGACTTTATGAAATGAGTTCAGAAGTATTCCCTCCTCTTCAGTTTTTTGGAAGAATTTGACGAGAATTACTATTAGTTATTCTTTAAATGTTTGGTGGAATTCAGCAGTGAAGTTATCAGGTCCTGCTTTTATGGGAGGTTTTTGATTACTAACTTGACCTCCTTACCCACTGTTGGTCTGTTCAGATTTTCTCCAGCTTCATAATTCAATCTTGGAAGGTTCTGTGTATATAGGAGTGTATCCATTTATTCTGGGATATGTTGGTGTATCATTTTTTCATAGTAGTTCTTAGGATGTTTTGGATTTCTCTGTTATCATTGCTATGTCTCTTCTTTCAATTTCTAATTTTATTTATTAGTCTTCCTTCTTTTTCTTTGTGCAGCTAAAAGTTTGTCAATTTTGTTGAGCTTTTCAGAAAACCAACTCTTAGTTTTATCTATCTTTTTGTTTTTCTAGTCCCTATGTCGTTTATTTCTACTCTAATCTATATATTTTCTTACTTGTGTTGACTTTGTTTTTCTTTTTGTAGTTTCTTGAGATGTCATATTAATTATTTATTTGAATTTTTTTTTTCTTTTCAATTATAGGCATTTAAATTTCCCTTTTAGAACTGCTTTTGTGGCATTCCCTAAGTTTTGGTAAGTTGTGTTTTCATTTGTCTCAATTTTTTAAAATTTTCCTTTTGATTTCTTTTTTGACCATGAGTTGTTCAGGTGCATGTTGCTTACTTTCCATGTGTTTGTGAATTTTCCAGTTTTCCTCCTGTTATTGATTTGTAGTTTCACATCATTGTGATAAGAAGTAATGCTTGATATGATTTCAGATTTGGTAACACTTGTTTTGTGGCTTAATAAATCACCTGTCATGGAGAATGTTCTGTGTACACTTCGGAAGAATATGTATTCTGCTGTTGTTGGATAGAATGCTCTCCACATGTCTGTTAGATTCATTTAATCTAACACATACTTCAAGTTCAATGTTTCCTTAATTATTTTATATCATGATTTATGTGATGTTGAAAGTAGGATATTAAAGTGCTCCACCATTATTGTATCATGTTCTGTCTCTCCTTTCAGATCTATTAATCTGCATTATTTTTGGTGGTTACATATGTATTTACAATATATTGTCTTGATGAATTGACCCCTTTGTCAGTATATAATGATCTTATCTCTTGTGACGGTTTTTGACTTAAAGTCTATTTGGTCTGACGTAAGAAAATAATAATTTTTTAACAGCTTCATTTTTATTTCAAACTTTTATTCTTTGGGGTGGTAGAAAACTATTTTAGTCAACTTTAATCTCTGAGTACCTCCCCTCCGCCCTCAGCAAGTTACAAGAAGCTTATGTAGTATGAGGGTAATTGGGAGGAGGAGCCTTTTAATCCTCCATATTCTCTGTCTATGTTGCCATCCTCTGAGATATCCAGGGTCCCATCAGGTCTTTGGCCACTTGTGCTTGCAGATCTGAAGAGATATGTGGTGTTTTTACTTTTATGACTCCTTCATTTTGTTAGATATAGTGAACCCCAAGTTCCCCTTCAAAAAATCAGTATGTCAGTTGTTCAGCTCTCTTATTCTTTAATTCTCTATTTTAAAGTTTAACTTCCTTGTAGTTCCAGTAAACAACCTTCTCCACCGGTTCTAATCAGTGGTTCACATCTGTTCCCCTGGCCCCCTACCCTGTCCTGACTCATCCCGGTCACCTACTTCAGTCACCTGCTCCAGTCACCTTCTTTGACCCAGATCAGCCCTGGCTACCTGCTCTGACCTGCCTGTAACTGTCCTTCTCGCCAAACCACCCACCCTGCCACTCCAGCTTGGACCCCTGCTCTCTTTAAAATAGCCAGTTGGGATTAGTCTAGCTTGTGTGGTCTAACCCTAGCCAATAGGGGAACAACACAGCAGTAGGGGCAACTCCCGTCAGGCATAAGTACCCCTTCCCCTCCTTATCCAGGTGTGCTCTTGCCATTGTTCCATCTGTGAGCTGCACCCTTTTATAGAAGTAAATTTTCTGAGACGATTTATCTTTGAATGCCATTTCTTTTGCGGCATTGAAATTTTACTTATAACAATTTTCTATGGTTCTTCTGCAACACTTCTGTAAACCCAGAAAGTCTGAAAGATTTTCTGAAAATGAAATGAAATAATTTCTCAGTTAATTTAGAAACTTTATTTGCCGAGGTTGAGGACATGCACCTGTTACACAGCCTCAGGAAGTCCTGACAACATGTGCCCAAGGTAGTCAGGGCCCAGCTTGGTTTTCAGCTTTTAAGAGACACATCAGACATCAATCAATATATGTAAGAATTACATTGGTTCCATCTGAAAAGGCAGGGACAACTCAAAGCAAAGTCTGGAAGACCCAAAGCTGGGAGGGCTTCCAGGTCGCAGATAGGTGAGAGACAAAGGGTTGCATTCTTTTGAGTTTCTGATTAACCTTTACAAAAGAGGAAATTAGGTATACATTGATCTGAGCAAGCAGAGGATAACTCTGAATAGAATGGGAGGCAGGTTTGCCCTAAGCAGTTCCCAGCTGCTTTTTCCCTTTTAGTGATTTTGGGGGCCCAAGATATTTTCCTTTCACACTTCCATACCTATTGGGAGTGCTCGGAAGTCCTTATACTGCTCTTGCACTGGACTGGAACAAAAGAAACTTTCACTGGCTGCCCAAAGTCCCATTGACCACCCGTCCCAGCTCTGCCCAGGCAACAGGGCCTGACCTCTCTTGCCCCCCATTATCCTACCTGGCACAGGGCTTACCCTTTAAAATACCAAGGAGAAACATAGGTTAATATATATATATATATGAACCATCTAAACAAAACACAAAATCCTGTGTAGTCAGTAGCATGGACATGTATTTTTTCCTTCTGTAACGTGTGTGTGTATTATGTATATATTGCCACATACACACATGGTGTATATGTTATAATTAACAAATTTGAAAATTTGTCATTTGAAATAATTTTTCACTGAGGCTGTTCCACATTTTAGATTTGCATCCTTTTAATTGGAGTTGTAATTGGCGATAATTCCAGCAGATAAACGATTCTGCTACATCTAAATGACTCATTTCTTCAAAAATATTTACCTCAGACTACTATCTATCTATTCCACTAATACTGCCATACATTTCCCATGTTTTTTTTTAATTTGTTCTTGTTTTATAAACCATAAGCTGAAAATGTCAGTAGTAAATTACTTTATCATTAAACCTAGCTCTACTCCCTACCCTTTCCCACCCCACTGATAAAAATACAGCCCTGTTTGATCCATTTGCCTCTAAACCACCTCAACTTCTGATTAGTTATGAACTTGTTGTACAGAAGCAGTAGGCAAAGATTTTTCCTCCTTTAAAACCATTTAAATGAAATTCTAAGAAACTCTAAAGTTGATTCTTAAAGAAAAGCTCAAAAATTGTTTTAATGACTGTATCACTGAAACAAATGTGTAATTGCCAAAGTGATTACTCTGAAGCAAACTGTTATTTGAATGAATGTTGGTAGCTTCCTTTAGAACAATAGTTCTCAACTTGGGAGGATTTTGTCCCCCAGGGGACATTTGGGAATTTCTGGAGATGTTTTTGATCTTCTCAACTTGTTCCCGGCACTTGTGGATGAAAGCCCATGTTGGTTCTAAACATCCTACGATACTCAGGACAATGCTTCACAACTAAGAATTGTCTGCCCCCAAATATCAATAAGAAACCCTGCTTTAAACAAATTATCACTTTATAGTCATCCCTCATGTTTTAATATACTTGAGAGCTTCTGGTCACTTTCCTTTAGCCTCATGGCCTCTTTGAGATGTTGTTTCTGCTAAAGTGTAAAGGGTGGGCACACGAATGGGAAACCAGTTCCAGTGAGATAACAGATGAGGAGGGGACTACTAGGAAATGTGTGGATTAATATCTAGGTGGAAGTTTCCCTAGCAACCTTTGAATTCTTTCTAAGAAGTTTATTTCTTATTTCAGGGACTTTTCCTGCCTAAGATGGTAGGAGCAGAGATGGGGCCTCAATTTTCTAGATCATAACCCAGAGAGAGACTGCAATACATTCCCCTCAGGGAGGCTTTCACCACCTTGTGGGCTGTGATCCCACTGCTCCTTCTGACTCACGTCTGAACTTCCCGGTCCCTATCATGTGATACTATAAAAATCAAGAAGCAGTATTCATGGGGCAGCTGCAGGTGTGAAACACCAGCACCACGACTCATGAGTGAGCTCCAGTTTACTCCACTCCTGCCACACATTTTTCAGGCCATGGGAGGCAGGCCGAGCTCTGACTGTAAGCCTCTATTTGTCTAAAGTTCCTCTCTTGTTTCTTACACCCTTAATGGAGGTGTGGTGATTTTTCTACTGCCTTATAATCTAAGGTAGCCCCAAATTCTGGGCCACTGCTTTCTCATGATTACCTTCCTTTCAACCTCTCAATGTCTTTGTTGCTGAGATCTGTCTGACCTCTAACAACTGCTAAAAATATAATCAGGTAATGTTATAGTACAAACACTACTTTTATTAGTCTACTTTCTTTTTCACCATCATGGGCCCCAGGACTTGGATATTGTATGTGGTTAGCACCTCTTTATTATAGTCTTGCAAGTAGATCGTTTCAGACAAGTCCTCTGAGAGTCCTCCCAAAAAAGGACAAGGATCTCTCATTTCTGTCCTCTGCTGCTTACTTTGTAGGAGGTCCATATCCCTTAGCAGCAGGATAAGTTATTACCCTGGTTTAGGGTTTTAAGTCTCTGTTTCATTTCTTGGGTATCAGGAGTCTGCCAGATTAAAGCTCTTGAACTTTAATGTTTCCAGGGCTCTGTGGATGCTACCCTAAAACCCAAATCTAGTTCCTCTACTTGATTTTGCTGTAAGCAGCAACATGTCATGCTGTTATTTGGTGCCTGCTGGCTTAGGTCAGTGTTAAGCTAGCACTTTGAAGATGCTGGAGTTCAGTCTTGTGAGTCCATTTTTCTTCACATGGCTTCTAGGTAAAAAAAAATTGTAATGGTATTGTCCTATTCACGAATTACCACTCTTCCTTTGAGAAATTGCAAACCAGTGATCGTGTTACACAAATATGAGATCAGTTTCTGAACCTCTGTGGTGTAACACCAACCTCTTTACTATATTGAGAGTATAGCGGGTGCCTGTCCAAGAACAATCTGAACACCAAAGCCCCTGTAACCCATCATGGAGGACCTCCTACTCCTCAAACCCTTGATAGTATCTCTTCAGTCTTCTGATAATAGTTTAAGCAATTAACCAACTCTGTTCCATGAAAAGTTTGTGTGGGCCATATTTGGGCTATGGGGTACCTCCACTAAACTTAGGCCAGCCATGGTCAGACCTGGGATGGGGTTATCATTTGAAGCAAGGATGCATCAAGGGGATAGGTTTGTAGATAATTTTTTAGGGTCTTCTTTCTCTGTGGTGAGCTTCATTTATACAAGAGCCTTAATTTTTAAGGCATTGCCAGTGCTGAATTTCTTTGTCATCAGATATTCTAAATTGTCTTTTCAGGTCCTGGTTCTGCTGTTAAATAGAGGTTATCTCTGCCACCTATACACCTATACCACGTGGAGTAAACTGCTCCCCCAACTTTTTTTTAGAGATGGGTTCTTGCTGTGTTGCCCAAGCT